CAGTGCTGGGATTACAGGCATGCGCCACTACGCCCAGTTTCTGTAGCTGACTCAGAACCTGATCAACACAGCATGTGGTACCAGGGATCAAACCTGGGCCCTTGCATTTGCTAGGCAGGGGCTTAGACCACTGGGCTGTCTCTCTGGCCCTCCATATATGTTATATAAAGATTGTAGAATTAATTGGTTACATCAAAATTTTTTCTTTCAGGAGAATTTTTAAAATTGGTTTTGTAGGAGCCGTAGGTGCCAATTTATTTATAAAACTTGTAAGTGCAGTCATTATGACTGTGTGAGAAAATATACTGCTTTTAGTTATTCAAACTCGTAGTTAGCAATTTGATCTTGTAAATTTATGAAAATACATACCCATGTGAATATGTATGAGATGTACACTACACCAAAGAAAACAATAACTTCTAAATAAGATTATAAAGCAAAATCAAGAAGTCAGTTGGCTCTGTGTTTAGAATTAGTAGATAATGACGATTACTTGGCAACTGTCTTTTAGTTTTCGTATTTTGTAACTATCTTAGCATTGCTAATTGTGAATATAAAGATATTTTCACTGGGCACGTGAGAGTCTGGTTACATTTTTTTAAAAAACAATGACTGTACTATGTAAATCCAGTGTTTGTTATGTGTGAATTCTGTGCTAGGTCCCTTTGAAAGATTCTAAAATAAATAGCCTCTTTTTTCAGTGATACTTTTAGAATGACTTTTTTTATTACAACATACATTTTTATTATTATTTTTGTGTTGTGTTAATCTAAACAGAAAAGTTATCAGTATATGATATTTAATAGTCAATTGATAACAACGTTGAAATGGCTGCTGCACTGTATTTCTTCCGTAGAAACTAGAAGCTGAAACTCTTGAAGTCAAAGCGAGCAAGGAGCAAGCTTTACAGGACCTGCAGCAGCGGAGAGAGCTGAGCACGGGCTTGGAGCTGAGGACCAAGGAGCTGAGCAAGCAGCTCGAAACGCAGAAGGAAATGTAAGCTCCCCTCGCACGCGTGAGCGACTAAGGGGAGGGCTGTGAGCTAAGCGTTACCAGCTTGGTGGTGGCCCGAAAGACTTAAGTGCTTCTTTTGTGTTGACATTACAAACTTATCACGTTAATGTGAATGAAAATGAAGTTTTAAAAAATTAATTTTATTGAGAAACAAATAGCAATGATACAGTTTCAAAACAGGTTGGTAGGACAGTTATAATAATTAATACAATGCATATTGTTGTCTTCGTAGTGGTTATCCATAGGACAAGATGCAGACGTGATATCCTGTCCAAACACTATGAATATCCAAACACTGTCTTTCTTCTCATTGAATTAAGAGAAAGTAGCTGTATATCTATCCTATTTTGTGTATACAGATACAAAATGGTCCTTCATTTGTATCCCCTTTTTTTGTTTAGTTTTGTCAGAGATGGGTATTTCTTTGCCATTTAAATATTGTAGGTGCATGAATTCAGCAAAATAATCCAATATAGTCTAGTAGACCATAATAGTAGTGGGTTATCCATAGGACTGGTAGTGTCAGAGTTATTGACTTGAGCCTTTTATAGCTCAGCATATTAATATGGCTTTACTTCTTATACCTCATTTATATACTTTTCTGCTGGATGGTTAAGACCAAGATAAAGCAAGACCTATAGAACAAGAAATGTAACTTTTGTATCTGACAAGGTCAGTCAGATCCCCTCAGGTTTTACCCTGAAACCTTGTACTGCAGTTTTTAGATCTTTTGTCAGTGTCAGCCATGTGGATGAGTCATAGCCACTGCTTGACCAATTTGCTGTCTGTGAAAGCATGAGAGAATGTTTTCTTTCCCTGTGACTCTCCTTAGGCACACTCTACATCGTCGATCACTTTCCTCTGTGGCCCCATAATCTCCTTCAGGAAATTTGGGACACCACTGAGTTACAGGATGTTACAGTATAGGTTCTCTTATGTCCTGAGTCCTCACTGACCTTGAAGGGCTAGGGCCAAAATGTTGGCTGTCCTTGCAGCCCTTCGTTTTTTCTAATTTTTTGGTCTGCAAACTTAAGTTGTTAACCCTCCAGAAGGAAAGCTTAATGATATTATTTTCCTATAACATAGGCAGTTGAGCTTAACCTGTCTGAATATCAGATATCTTAGACATAACATGGAACAGGTATTTTCCATCAAGTAGTGATATGTTAAACTTTAAATCCCTACCGAATGTGAAAAAAATATTTAAAAAGTAGGAATAAACAATTACATATTTTTACACAGAAATTTAGAAATCTAACCATGTACAGCATTGTAGCAGGAGTGTCCTGTGACATTTTTTTCTTATCACTTGTTTTCATTTATTACCCTTTTTTTTTAAAACAAACATTTACTTGAGAGACAGTATAGCAGTAATTAGTATGACATTAAAAGTGGTACATATTTAGAAGACCAGAATGACAGGCCTTCCAAGCATGGCCCTAGTATTACACACTGCTATCTTCAGTGCAGTTGCTTAGTTCATAGGTATCAGCATATATAGTTAGTCAAGGTGAGAATCCTACCAAGTAAGTGCTAGTTTCAAAACCTGCTGCTGTTTCTCAGGATCATGGCCTTAACCATCTTGTGCCTGTAAATGTATGGCTTTGCCCTTGTCATGTTTCCTGTCTTTTTTCCTTGCCCTCTCTTCATTGTTTAATTCTTAAGTTTTTGCTTTCCTTTTAATTGTGTTATACCTTTCTATTTTTATTTCTTCTTTTGAGGTCTTACATTAGGGAGACACATATGGGTCTGGTTTATTTCACTTATGAGTGTATCTTCAAGTGGCATCCACTTCAATATAAAGGCTTCGAGTTTATCATTCTTTATAGCTGAGTAATACTCCATTGTATAAAAATACCATATCTTTTTCATCCATTCCTCATGTTACGGGCATTTTGGTTGTTTCCAGGATTTGGCTTTCACAAATTGTGTTGCTATAAACATAGGTGCACATATATCACAATGATATGTTGTTTTCAGATCCTCTGGGAAAATTCCCAGGAGGGGGATAGCTGGTTTGAATGCAATTTCTAGTCCTACTTTTTTAAGGAGTCTCCACACTGATTTCCATAATGGTTGCATCAGTCTGCATTCCCACCAGCTGTGGAGAAGGGCTGCTTTTTCCCCACAGCCTCTCCAACATTTGTTGTTGGGTGATTTCTTTATGATAGCCATTCTTTCTGGGGTGAGATGGTATCTCGGTGTTGTTTTAATTTGCATTTCATGGATGGCTAGTGATGTGGAGCATTTTTTCATATATTTATTTGCTTCTTTAATTTTGTCCTCTGAGAAGTGTGTGTTCATCTCAGATGCCCATTTCTGGATCGGGTCTTTAAATTTTGGGGCTCTAATGTTTTTTAGTTCTAGAGAGAAAACCTTTGTCTGAGTGCTTACTAGTTAAGACTTTTTCAAAATTTGTGGGTTGTCTTTTCACTTTGTTGGTAATTTCTTTTTTCTTTTCTTTCTTTTTCTTTCTTTTTTTTTTTTTGCCGAACCGGGGATTGAACTCAGGCCCTTGTGCTTGCCAGGGAAGCACTTATTCCACTGAGCCATCTCCCCGGCCCCTGTTGGTAATTTCTTTTGATGTCCAAACACTTCTCAATAAAAGGAGGTCCCAGTTGTTAATTCCTTTAAGTATTACCCATGCGATTTGATTTTTGTTTATGAACTCTTTGCCTACCCCTATGTCTTCAAGAGTTCCTCCTACTTTCTCTTCAAGGAGAGTTAGTGTTTCTGAAAATAAGTCATTGTAGTGTGACCAAGTTTACTTTCACTATAAAGAACTTAAAACTTAGGTCTATGAAATTTTGGTCAGGTAGTCTGTTTTCAACCAAAAAAACCATTTTGCTCTTTATTTTCATTTTGGCCGCGTCCACCACTGAGGCCTTTTCTGTCTTTGTTATTGCCGGCTAAGGTTTTGAATGTCAATTAAAGCAAACATTGCAGTGATGGTCATTGATCATCATTGTGTCATTTAGACAGGAAATAATAAATTTTCATCAAGTGTGCGGTTGGCTATAGAAACTTTGCTTGCATTTACCTTACTAGACTGATGATGTTTTCTTTAATACCTAAGTTTTTAAAAAAGTTTTTTTAAAAATTACCTGAATTTTATCAACTTTTATTTCAAAATCTGGTGATATGATTATATATATTTTTTCTTTGGTCTGTAGGTATGGGAAATTACAGTTCACTTTTGCTCGTAGTAAACCAGCCTTGCTTTTACACCTCCACCTGACCATATTGTAGTGTGCCCTTTACATGTTGCTCTCGAGTCAGTGCTGCAGCGGGCCCCCCAGTCCGTGGGTTGTACGGAGTCAGCCAACTGAGGGTGCAGTTCATTCAGGAAAGAGTCGTGACTGTATGGGACATGTATTGCACTTTTTGTCATCATTACCTAAATGATATAGTCCAACAACTATGTAGCACTTCTAAGGTAGCGTAAGGTAATTAGAGATAAGTTAAAGTATTCAGGAGAATACACATAGGTTACTTTAGAAAACACCATTTCAGATGAGCATCTGCAGACTTGATGTGAGGGTCCTCAAACCCATTCTCCATGCCTTCTGAGGGATAGCTCCACTTTATTAAGAGTTTTCAAGGACCCATGAAGGCTGTTTGTTCATAATGTTCTTTGAACACCATCCTTAGGTTTCATTAGAATTCCTGGCCCTGGAAAGGAATTAAATATTTTTCCTCCTCTACTTTTGACAGAATTTGAATGTGATGAAGGTTGTTTACTTCTTAAATGTTTAATAAAATTTACCAGTGAACAAGCTGAGCCTGAAATTCCCTTTTGTTTGCTTTATTTAGAATTTAATTTTAAATAAATTAAGTGTAGACACAGTGTTACTCTAATTTTCTAATTTTTCTTAGGTCAGCTAGGTAGTTTGTATCTTGCAGTGAATTTATGCATTTCATCTAAGTTTCAAAATACTGTAGATGTCTGTAGGAGCTATAATAACATTCATTTTTATTCTTAATAGTGATAATTTGTCATTTTTAATGATTCTAATTAAAGATTTATCAGTTTTATAAGATTTTTACAAAAAAGTTTAGAATTTTTGTTTTCTATTTCATGTTTCTCCACATATCTATATTTTTCCTTTGAGTTTGGATTAGTTTTTTACAAATAGCCTTTTTTTTTTTTCTTTTTTGCAGTACCAGGGATTGAACTCAGGAGCTGGCACTTGCCAGGCAAACACTTATTCCACTGAGCTATCACCCTGGCCCCAAAATAGCCTTTTAATGTGAAGGTTTTTGTCCTCACTTACTCCTTTTATATTCATCAGTGTTGATGCCAGATTTCGTTAGGTAGTAGTGAATTATCTTGGTACTGTATGGGAAAGGAAGGCTACATCTCTTTTCTTATTTTTCTTCTTCTTCTTATTTTTTTTAATGTGTTTGGCACAGGGTCTCACTACATAGCTCGCACTCATAGTGATCCTCCTGTTTTCAGCCTTCCCAGTGCTGGGATTACAGGCATGTACCACCATGCCCAGATTTGGCGGCCAGCTCAGTGAGCCTGGGGGTGGGGCCATTGTGGCATGCAGTATGGGGGATTGAACCCCGGTCCCTGCTGCTTGCCTAAGCAGCTGCTTAGTCCGCTGAGTTATCTCTCCGGCCCTTTTACTCTTATTTTATGTAAACATATCTGGGGTTTAAGATGCACCGCTGAGCTTAGGGTTCAGCCTAGTTAACAGGGATAGGACCTAGTGCTTTACCACTGAACGACACTCTCAGCCTCTTACAGAATTTGTAACCAGATTTAAATGGTAACATGATAAAAATAGTTTTTCTATTTCGACCTTGAAAACCAGAGCGGCACACTGTGCTATGAACCTATTGAATGTCAGCTTTTTTTCTTTAAGCACAGTTCCAGAAACATGTATTTGGGACTAAAACTTGGAAATTTTCAAGATACAAATAAAGTCCTGATACTGTATTGCTAGGAATTTTGGGTGATTCTTATGTCTTTAAATAACCTTTTAATGTATTATTGGATTTATACTGGTTCTAAATTTATACTGATTGTAAATAATGTGCACTTTGAAACTCTTAGTTTACGTCTGGTTTTGACATTAAAACGGTTTTATTACTGAATGATATGCATAAATTAATTTTATAAAAAATTCTGTTTCAACTTTCTTAAAGCTGTATCTTCTCATTCTTATAGCTTATTTACTCTGATGTATAAAACCACTATCAAAGAACAAATGATTAAAAAATCACATCTAATCTGCTATGTTTTAGAGAAAAATCATTCACCTTTCCTGTATTTTTAATATATATTGTTATATTACATGAATATTAATGTATATTAATGTAATTAATATATATAATTATATATTAATATTTGACACCTATCAAGTACAGAACATATTTTATGTTTTCAAGGAAGAAACAAAGTTCTTTTTGTGGTTGGAAACTAACATATTGAGTAGGTTGCCTTGGATTCATGTAACACCATTTCTGGCTATTGCAGCTGTTCCGTGGCCTGCAGTGTAGTTTTGTTTGAGGATCTGTTATCATGGAAAAGACTGGATTAAGTTAGGAGGCTTAGACGATTTTGTTTTATTACTAACTTATTTGACTTGAAAAAAATCACTTATACCTATTCAGTGATTTGGTCAGATGTTCTAAGGCATTTTTCTGTTATGATTTTATGAAATTAAATTATTTTTATTTCTGAATCATACAAACATGTCTTGAAACCCATAATTATTTATGATCATCTTTAAATGCTAAATTGTGCACTTAAAAATTATTTTTTAAAAACCTAGAGTATCCAGTACAAAATTGGATCTGCTGAAAAAATCTGAAACCCTTGAAACTACAAAACAAATGCTTACCAAGCAAGAGGAGGAAAATGCTGTCCTGAAACAAGAAATTGACAAGTTAAGTCAAGATGCAAAGATGCAGCAAGAGGAACTGAGTAACAGAATTCAAACAGCACAAACAGAGCTGAAGGAAGTGAAAGTGGAGAAAGAAACGCTAATGACTGAACTTTCTGCAGCAAAAGACAAATTATCAAAAGTATCTGATGCTTTGAAAAACTCCAAAAGTGAATTTGAAAAGGAGAACCAGAAAGGAAAGGCTGCTATATTAGATTTGGTTAGTTGTTTACATTTACATTCTTTGAAAAATTTTGAAGGTTTAGTGCAGCGCATGATGGTTGTGTTCCCGTTCTGTGGGGAGCTCGCCGTGAGCACAACGCGTCTCACTGCTTCTGGCTTTCCCTCCACTTCTTCCCTTCCCTGTCTGCGCTTACTTTCTTAGGTAGAAGTGATTATTTGCACCCTACATTAAAATGTTCTAAAAGTTTTCTGAGGAGAGGAGTTTGGCTTATTTAATCTGTGAAAAAGATAATAGAATAGAAGATACTGGCTGGAAGGTGTGTGCACCTCTGTGCGTGTGGATTTTCTGGAGGCCAGGGGCAGCTTCAGTTGGATGTATCAGTCCTTTTCTGCTGCTGGTCTGAGGTTAGATGTGGGAGAGACCGCAGCATAGTTGTTTAGGGAGACATTTCCACAGTGAGTAATTGCTAGTGAGCTGTTATTGACATATTCCAAAGAAGATCTTAATTACTTTTAATTCTGCTGCTATAAGTTTTTGAAAATTCCATATTTAGAGATATCATAAAACGTATTTAAAATGTAGGGAGAGTCTCAGGAAATGCCTAAAGAGGAATGAGTTCTTAGAAATGTTGTAATGCAAAATAGCAGAATAAAGCAAAAATAAGACTCCTCCCTTCTCGTTATGAAGGTCAGTGAAATTGTTTGGCAGGGCAAAGCCCATGTGAAGTTAGTACGTGTTCCTACATTTGGAGGAAACAGTTCCAGTTTGAACATCTTCTCTCTTCAGTTATACGTGATTATTTTTTAGTGTATAGTTTTCTAATTTTCTTTTTTTCAAATTTTCTTTTTGTTCTTCTGTTTTGAGACAGGGCCTTGCCATGTAGTTCAGGCTGGCCTTGAACGTACCATGTAGCCAAGGGCCTCCATATTTGTGCTGCCCTGTCTGCCTTAGCCCCCTGAGTGCTGGGATTATAGGCAGGAACCACCATACCTGTTTGTTTTCCTTGTTCTTGTAGCTCATGGCTCTATTTTTTGACAGGTTTGTTATAAGTAATTGTGTGGCATGAAAATGATTTCCAAAGTTCTCTAAAGTATTTCTAAAATACTTTCTTCATTATTGAGGATGGAACCCAGCCTCTCGCATGCTGGGCAAACTCTCTATTATGGAGCTATATTATTATAACTATTTGATTAAAGAAATCCTTAGCAAGCATAGCATAGTTGTGTATTTGCTTGTATTTATTTATTGGTTGTTTGAGAACGTCTTACCGTATAGTTGTGCTCACTGTGCATCCCAGGTTGACCTCAGCCTTGTGGCAAGTTTCCTGCCTCAGGCTCCTGGTGCTGGGATGAGAGGTATTTGCTACCACACTCCGCTGTTTTTATTATAAAATGAGTGACCCTATCCCATTTTGACTCATCAACAATTTTAGTTTCAGTGATTTTAATTTATTTGTGTGTCTCTTACTAAGCTTGTAAAACAAACTTTCAAGGTCATTACAATTTTTTTTTTTGTATGATATAGTTTCTCCTTTCTTTAGGAAAAAACTTGCAAAGAACTAAAGCATCAACTTCAGGTACAGACAGAAAGTACACAAAGGGAACAGAATGAACTGAAGAAGTCACTTGAAAAAGAGAAGGAGGTAAGATTTTATCTTTCCTGTAATATAAATGTATAATGTATAATAGGCCTTCATATTTCAAAACATTTTCCCTGATATGTCAAAGAAAGATTTATTTCTCTGAAATGGAAAGGAATGAAAAAATTCAATCTATAGTATATAGCTGTTAATGTTTGAGTAACAGTTTATACTGTTACTATATGCATTCCCAGCTATAGTTTAGACATATAGCTTTCTAGAAAATCTAATTTGATAAATTAAATATAGTCCTGACAAATGTTTGATGTCACCGTGTTCTGATTGTGCATTGAAACAGGACATTTGGACTATAGATGCCAGCCATGTAAGTCACCAGATTATAGTGGTTTAGTGCCCAGACTCTGAACCAAAATTGTTCAAATTTGTATCCTGCCAATGCTGTTTATTAGTTAAGTTGTTTTCCCCTATTTTATAGATTACTTAATCTTCTAGCCTTCCCATTTCTTTTCTTTTTTGTCTTTTTGAGACAGGGTCTCCCTATGTAGCTCACCCTGGCCTTGAGCTCACTTTGTATCCCAGGCTGGTCTTGACCTCACAACAGTCCTCCTAATTCAGTCTCTGGAGTGCTGGGATTACAGGTGTGCATCACCACGCCCAGCCTGGTGTTCATTTTCATCAAAAATGAAGTGGGGCTAATATAGAATCCATTGTAAAGTTATTGTGAGAAATAAATGCGTTAATGTAAAGTACTCAGAATGCTGCCTGTAGCAAAATAGGAGCCCATTTGTTAGAGGTTATTTTCTCATTGGTTATAGCGGGGGCCTACTTACTGCTATACTTAGTTCTGTTTTGCACTAAAACATTTGACTGTGCATTGAGATAAGCTGAGGCATCTGTATATAGCACCAAAAAGGTTTTGAAAAGTAGCCTAGTGTGGTCAGATGCTCAAATGTAGTTCTAGAGTTTTCATAAACTATACATAAATCATGAATTTATGACTTTGATTGGAAAGGCAGAAAATGGCGGTTGGCCTTGGCCACTGAAGAGCCCGTGTGACTTCCGGGTGAGCAGAAGCACAGCCAGCACTGAGTGCGAAAAGAGTAGATTTGGTGAGATTAAGTGTTATGCAGTGTAACTTAGTGCATAGATTTACACTAAAATGTTTGCTGTAAGAAATTTCATTTGTGTCATACTTAAAATAGAGCTAATCCTTCTGATTACCTGCGGCCAGCAGGCTCAGCAGCATTTGAGACTGTTCTAGAAAGTGCAGGGACAGTCCAGCAATGTGAACTTCCGTGCCGACATCCCTGTTCTGTGTGAGGGCAGGCGTTCTGATCCAGCTCATTCACCACTCTGTCTGAATGTGTAAGCTAAAAGGAAGACAGCGTTAAACAAATAATACAGATTAACTTGCCTGTCACGTAATAGTGAATGGTGCCGGCTCGTAATAGTGAATGGTGCCGGCTCTGAACACAGTGGAAGGCTGACGTATCTCTCTTTTATTGATTACCGGTCATTGGTGACCGACAGGCCCAGTAGTTCTTACCATGAGCAGTGGCTGGCATGTGTAGTAGGTACTCAGTAAATGTGCTTTGTTGTTGTTGTTTGTTTTTGGTACTGGGGATCGAACTGAGGACATTGAGCTTGCCAGGCAGACACTTATGTGGCTGAGCTGGCTCCCGAGCCCCAGTAAATGTGTTTGAAATGAGTAAATAAATGGGAAACATTTTTTTTTTTCTCTCTCAGGCTTCTCATCAGTTGACTTTGGAACTCAGTTCAATTAAGGAACAAGGTGTACAGGCCCAAAGTACTTTAAAACAAAAGGAGAAAGAACAGAAACAACTTCAAGGCAACATAAAAGAGCTAAAGCAATTGACTGAACAGAAGAAAAAGCAAATAGAAGCACTACAGAGAGAAGTTGAAACTGCTCTTTCACAGAAGGTATTAATAAGCAGTTTACTTTTCATAGGGACAAAATGTTGACAGTTAGGATAATATGATTGAAACAGGTGAGTTGTATCAAGAATGTTTGCATGTGCTCAGAAATTTTCTAACTCATATTTGATCATGTGATTAAATATCCAGGCCTGAATTCCATTCACGGTAACTATGTTATCAGGGGATTCTTAAATTTCTAGTACTAATCATTTGTCTAATAAATATGAAGTACATTTTTGTAAAATATCATATGACTAACAGTTCAGGTTAAAGCAGTTATTCAAGTGGTATTTCTAGTGTATTAGAAAAATTTTAAATAAATTCAAAACATGATTTTTATTAAGAGAAAAATAGGGGCTGGGGAGATGGCTCAGTAGAATAAGTGCTTCTCTGGCAAGTGCAATGGCCTGAGTTCAATCCCCAGTTCTGCAAAAAAAAAAAAGAGAGAGAGAAAAATAATTAACAAATATCACAAAGTAAGATATATTTAAAAAATCAATTGTGTCATATTTCTTCTTTTGTTTGTTTTTTTAACGGATTAGGTCTTTTTATTTTTTATTTTTTTCATAATTTTATTGATAAGCAAATAGCAATTGGACAGTTTCAAATCCAATCGCTAGGACAGTTTCAGTAATTAACACACTGCACACATTCTTCTTAGTGGATAATTGCTGTACAAGATGCGGACTTGAGATCCTATCTACAAACACCGTTAGAACAAATCCCTCTATTCATTAAGAGAATGTAACTATATATCTATCCTAACCACTTTGAACGCACAGATATAAAATGGACATTCATCTGTATACCCTTTTTTTGTTAAGTTCCGTTATTTGAATATTATAGGTGTGTAAACTCAGCAAAATTTTTTTTTTTTTTTTGGCAGAACCGGGGATTGAACTCAGGCCCTTGCGCTTGCCAGGGAAGCGCTTATTCCACTGAGCCATCTCCCCGGCCCCGCAGCAAAATATTCTAAAAGAGTCCAGTAGCCCATAATAGCATTGGGTCTTCTGTTTAACTGGCAATGTCAGAAATTGTTGACCCGAGTCCCCCACAGTTCAACGTAACATCATGGCTTTGCTTCCTATATTTTGTCTTCATACTTTCCTGCTGGATGGTTAAGACCAAGGTAAAGCAGGACCTATGCAACAAGAGTTGTAGCTTTTGGGTCTGAGAAGGTCAGTGAAATCCTCTCAGGATTTATCCTGAGATCCTGTACTCTTTTGTTTGTTTTTAAAAGGGGTCTTCCTAAGTAATTTAGGCCTTGAACTCACTATATATCCCAGGCTGGCCTCAAAGCTGTAGCATTCCTCCTGCTAAGCATCCTGAGTACTTGGTTTTAGGCAGCACCACCATGGCAAGCTACTAGTGTAAGATTTCTTCTATCTGATATGTTTTGCTACATCAGAAAGGTTTCCATTTCTAATATTAAATGCATAATTTATTATGAACCATCAGTCATTCCTAAATATGTTTTAATATTTGTATAGAACAGCAGTGGGCTGAAAATTGATTGTACTTAATGTAAAATATTTAATATAATGTATTTTCCCACTGTTGGCACATGTGTATTATTTGGTCTGTGGAGAAAAGTAGAATCTTTAATTGTAGGATGTATCAACCATATCATGCCATTCAGAGGTGGCTATTGTACTACTAAAGTAAAAGAAATCTGAATTAGAAAACCATCAGTATACATTGTATGTTGAACAGTGATTTATGACTATTATTTTATATCACAAAGGAGTAGTTTTGTAGTAACATAACCAAGAGTTGACTAATTTGTCCTATGTGTTATAAATAATAAAAAAATCAGGATATAATTATCACAACACATATTGTTCCAACATTTTGATATCTTCACATATAAATATCCCCAAGAAATTTATTTTTATAGCATCATAACTTAAAAAAAATATGACCCTTGCACTTTTCCTTGGTCATTAAAATTAAGATTTCACTCATTTATTAGATGATACACAGAGAACTGAGATTTAGAGACAGTGTTCTTATTAATAGTTCATTTTCACATGAGAAGATGGGCACCAAATCAGGATCACTCTTCTTGACGTTGCGCAGGACAGAGGGAGTGTGGAGTACGTCGCCAATCTTTTCTAGCATTGCAGGTATGCGCCACTGTAGGATGTGGTTTTCTAAATTCAAGCAGCTTACATTTAACCAGGCAGCAATTATGTAAAGAGAATGAATGTGGGAGATGTGAAGGCACAGCCTTCCTAGAGAGCTCTGTGGTCCTCACTGAGGTCAGCTGGAGCGCTCTCATAGAGGTGATGGAGGTGTTCACTACCGTGCAGACTCAGAAGGGAGAGTGGGCAGAATTCGGGAAGGCTGGACTAAGAAGGTGTGTCCATGTCAGCTCAGGTGTTCACCCACTGTAGGTCTGCAGGCGCCAAGGTTCGCAGGGTGGCAGAGCCGTGCCAGGACCAGCATCTGTGCCGGTATTAGCAGACATGCTGTGGATCCCTGGTGAGGATCCCAGCCCAGCTCCTGGAAATGCTGCCACCCTGTGCAAAGCACAGAACAATCAGAGAAAGGAGTGAGGGGAGTGACTGCAGCGGGTGTTTACTCTAGAGCCATCGTTCCCAACCCTGGTGGATCCATGGTCTCCCTGCCTGAACATGACCCAGGATCTGTGAAGGTGATAGCAACAGAATCCTGAGCCAGGAGGGCAGAGCCCAGTGCAGGCCCGAGGCCTAGCTACCTGCCCTATGTCAGACCCTTCTGGGGGAGGAAGCTGGGGATGGGCGCAGCCAGCACTCCTAGTCAGCCCTGCTTGCTTTGCAGCAGACCAGGGTTGGGGGTGGAGCAGCCTGTGTAACTGGATAGGCTTCCTGTCTCCTGGGAGCTTCTGGAATCACTGTGGGCTGAGCAAGCTGGGAGAAGGAACCAGGAGCTCCAGAGAGGGGACAAAGTCTGCAAGTTAGCAGTGACAGAAAAGCGCAGGCTGAGTGTGCTGGAGGGAGCAGGCAGAGGGCCCACCAAGGATCCTTCCACCTGGAGTAGGAGGTGCCCCTTAAGAGCATGCGACTGTTCAGTTTCTGAGCGAACAGAGCAGAGTACTTCATTTTAAGGATATTGAGAGCCTAGTGGAGAGTTTGAATGGAGAGTTTAAACAGGTAGTTGTGATTTGACTTATGGGAGATAAAGGAGCAAACAGGGAAGGCATTGAGAAGTATTGGAATAAACGATAGTACATGGTGCTGGCATGAATAACCAAGGCGTGGTTTGGAAGCTGAGTCACCGAGACTTTCTCAGGCTATGCGAAGAGGGTTTAAGGATAGCTGTGGGTGAGAGTTTGTGCATGTGGGTAGTTGGTGATGTCATTTATTGGCAAAAGTCACAGCTTTTTGATGTATAGGGTTGTTGTCAGAAATTTTTTGGACCGCTCAGGTTGCCTTCAGGGCAGGTCTGGTTTGGCTTGAGGATGAGGGGATCGAACCACAGCATCCTGAGCCTGACTGCTTTGTTTCAGCAGGCACTTAAACACCTGAGCTAATGGGCAGGCCCCCAAATAAATTATTTACAAACTTGAATGTAACAATAAAAATTGTGTAAAATAAAAATGAAGAAGAAAGAATTTATATATCAGTCATATAATAGTTTACTCTGTGCCAAACTCAAGAAACTTATATAATTAGAATTCTCAAAGTAGAAAGGGGTAGGCAATAAATATTTGAAGATTTAAAATTTCTGAATTTAGTTGAAATTATAGCACCACATTTCCAAGAAAAAATGAACCTTTGCACAAGAAATTTGAATAAAATCATACCAAGATCCACAAAAATGAATTGTCCAAAACTTATTATAAAGAAAAAAAATCATTAAAGCATACACATAAAAACAATTAGCTCTGGAAGAACAAAATTAGATAACATCTTATTCCACATTAGAAAGAAAGAAAAAAAAAAAAGACCAAGTATGTAAGAAACTAGACTAATTAATTCAAAGGACTGAAAGAAAAAAAAGATCTGTTCTCATTGAATTTTATGCTTAGCAAACATACCTTTGAAAACTGAAAGTAAAATATTTTCCAGTTATACAAACTCAAAATATTCTAATACTGCCAGACGTAGCATATAGGAAATAACAAAGAACATAATCTAGAGGGCAAGAGAAATTGCTGTATGGTCCTGGATAAAGAATAAAGAGCTCTCAAAGTGATAGTTATGCAGGACTATGTAAAATATATTAGATGAACCCATTTAAAAGGTCATTGAAGATTTCTACAAGACAGTATCAAGGATCTACCAAGTTCAAACTTGTCCAGGTGTGTGTGGCTTGGGTCTGGCTGCTGTGCTCCACTTCTTCCTGCTGCAGCCCTTGGAGGTGAACCCTCTGTGCCACTCTGGCAAGGTGTTCTGCTCCTGGATGAGCTGGGTGTGTCTTGCCTCTAGCCTCTCTGCAGGGAATTCTGCTGCAGGGTTCCACACCAGGCCTATCTGATGAAGGAAGTTCTCACATGTGGGCCTGAGCTCTGGGTGGAATGAGGATCCAGTGGGCCCTGGGCAGTCTCACTCACACACCTGGCCTGGGTTCTGGGTCAAATGAGGATCTGTCGAGCCCCGGTCAGTCTCACTCACACACTAGGCCTGGGTCTAATCTATGCATATATTTTAATAATGTTTAGTAATGTTTGTGTATCTCCAAATTTTGAAAATGAATTTAGTTTTAGAAAAGTTTGGACCTTTCTGAGACTTTTTCCTTACCTTGTTATTGATAAAGATGACCTGTGGAAACATCCTAAAGTATTCTTACATTTCCAAGAGTACAAATTGCACATCAACACAACACGGTAGTGATGTCTGAATTTCTTTCATGAAGTTTTTCTTAGTTCAGCCTTAAACTATGTCTTCTGAGGCACCTAGCACTGCATCTTCCATCAGAATGTGGGCATCATCTATCTCCTGAAACCTCATACTTAGGACTTCCCAGAGAAGAGCTATTTTTCTCTTCATTTGCTTTTCCATTTTATAGTTTTAAAATAGAATGTGTTGAATTTTGTAGTTCTTTCACTTTATAAAACAAGAAATTATCGAAGTGGAACTTCAGGGCATAAATGTACTTCACCTTGTTTTCTGGATCTTCTTAGTGGTATGAATATCATATTTGTATTTGTAACTCGGTTTTTATGTATATCTGCTGTATGTTTCAGGCAGAGCTTCAAAATAAACTACAGCAACAGTCAGCGCAGGCAGCCCAGGAGCTTGCAGCAGAGAAAGAGAAGGTGTCTGGGTTACAGGATTCCTATGAAAAGTGCCAGGAGAATCTGAAACAGCTTCAGTCTGACTTGTACGGGAAGGAATCTGAACTTCTAGCCACGAGGCAAGATCTGAAGGTAAAGTATGCCACCGCATAGCGTGCGAGCTCAGCAGGTTGTCTGCGGACAGTCCTTGAGTGGTTCCTTGTGCCCTCTGGACAAGAATGTAATGTCTGTGAAATATGATACTTTTTAGTTCTAGGTTTTTACTTTTGTTTTAAAAAAGATTTTTTATTGTAAAGAAATACCAATGCACATAAATGTGGGCATTTTAAAATGTAATCTCTACAATTTGGTGCATATGTTAATTGGTATACCATTAACTTATCAAAGGAGTTTGGCCAAAGTGTTTGCAGATAGTCTCAAAAGTGGGCTGCTGTTGAACTAAGGAATTGTAAGTTGAAACCATTTGTGAATAATGTGAACAATTTTGTTGTTACTCGTCAGACAATACTGACTTAGTTTTCTAAATGTGTCAACTTCTTAAGATTCCTAGTGCCTAATGATTAAAATTAGGAGATTATAGCTCAACTTCCATTAACTTTAATTATCTAACAATGTGTAGAAATGTTGCCGTGGGTAATATTGTTTATTAGATAGAGCATCACCTTAAATGACTGGTATGAAAAAAGAGTAAACTTTTTATATAATGTTAAGGCATCAATTCTTTAAAGAAATGGTGTTTTCTCACAAAAGATCCAGCCAGCCTTTCCCCTACCCTTCCTGCCTTGCGGAGGTGAGATATGCTTTTGGTTTCTTTTCCATGTTTGGGATTTTATTTTCTTTAAGGCACACTATTGAAAAATTCTGAGAATCACAAAATATTTTATAAACACAGTGCATGTATGTATTCATAGCTCACGTAGGAAGGTTTTATAGCAGAAATGGCATTTGCCAAGGTCCTGAGGCATGGGCACAGTTTGTGTGCAGAGAGAACCAAGGAAGAGCAGGTCACTCTGGGTGTGTCGGGGAAAGTGGCCTCCATGAGAGAGGGCAGAGGAAGGCGAGTTAGTGATGCCTTCCAGAGTGCTGTCGCATTAGGCTGAATGCTTATGGTTAAATTCTCAAATACCTCAGTTGCCTGGCAAAGGCAATTAAATTTTATATTTGAGGAAAAAGTGGAAGAATCTAGGCAGGAAGATAAAAGGAAGAAAATTCTTTTAGGAAACTTAACCTGGAGTAGTTTAAAGAACCGTGGGTTGACTAGAGGGGGAGATTAATTAAGACATAATCTCTCTTCACGAATTTGAGCAGTCTGTTTGGTTAGAAAAGTGAGAGAGGTAGTGATAGTGATTTGAGAAAGGAGTATGAGACTGGGTAAAGCAGACTCCCAGCGCATCAGTGCACACTACATCGTATGCAGAGAGATCTGCAGGATCAGAGCTAGCAAGAAGAAGTAGGGGGGCCCATATGACAAGAAATAAAAACCGCACTTGACGTTTAGATGACCTTAAATTATTATTATTTTCTTTACAACTCTTGTAAGGCGGGGAAGGTTTGGAGGGGGGAATGCGCTCTTAACCTGAAGGCAACGAGGAGCGGGGACAGGAGTCCCATAGGTTTGTGTCTCAGGCAAATGGCTGGCTGCGGAGTGAGGAGTGGGGTTGGGGGGCCCCTTGGTGTAGTGCAAGTGCAGAGTGATGGTTTAGGCTGGTAATGACAGGAAGGTACAAGTGGTGAAAAGTGGGGGAACCTGAAGGATATTTGCATGGTGAAGAAGATGAAACTTAATGGTTGATGGTAAAAATCCTCCAGAAGTCACTGTTTATACTGATACATTACTTACCCAGAGTATGCCCAAGTAACAGGACTTACAGTTCTTAAGTGAACTTTCACTAAGTCAACAAGAATTTGCCATATTGTATGGTAATAATTTCATATCTGAAAGAATAATTCAGCTGTAAACATGATCAAAAAGAAAAACAGGGACAGGTTGGCACAGCACTTTATAACCATGAGGTCTTGAAGGGCTGCTTAGGGGTGCTGTCTTCCGCAGGGGAGGGCAGGCCCATGCTGTGCGATAGCGGAACATGGTTAGATCTTATTTCTGGTTCGAAGCTGCCTGTGCTTTCATTGGCCACCACCTCACTAGACTTTCATTTTTGACAAAATAAACTTGTTTTGTTGGTACTGGGGATGAAACTCAGGACCTTGCGCTTGCCAGGCAGGTAGGTGGCAGGTGCTTATGCCACTCAGCTATCTCCCTAGTGACAAAATAAACTTTTTATAAGTTCTTTATTAGTGCTTCTAAAATGAGAATTCTGTGCACTGTTTATTTTTAAAAAATGTTTAAATCCTGGAAAAGTTTACAAGACATATATAGACCAAAGTAAGAGATAGTCATCAACCATTGTTTTTCTTTAGATGCAGGGATTTTATATGTTGCTTATGAAAGAGAGGCAGAGATTCAGAATCTTCTCTGAGCCTGCTCTGGGCGACTTTGCACTGTGCTTGGATGCCAGTGAGATGGAAGGCAGCGTCCTGACCTGTGCTGGCAGCCCCATCTGCTGGAGCACTTAGGAAGTCCTTTGTTGGCTGGGTATTGCACATTTGCTGTGTTCTGTGCTAGTCTTTCTTGTTAAAAGAAGGGACAGGTAGGATTTTACACTGTGAGTGAAGTGAAAATTCTAGGGCAATAGGTTGGAACTAAATATAAATCCTTGTAGTCTAATACCACATCTTAGACCATCCTATCACACATCAAGAAAAAGTAACAACTGAAATTATAAAGGTTTTATTTTGAAAGAATGAGAAAACTTGCTGAATAGCCATTACTTTTTGGCTGTTCCCTGTAGAACTCCTCTTTCGCTGGAAGACTGTAATGTGGTTGGTGGAGTCAGTGGCAAAGTTGGTAGTTGATGCCCTCAGGGATACAGACCTATTGAGGTGGACATGGATGCAGTAACAATTCTAGCAAAATCGTGGACTAGAAGAAGGAGGCTATCCAAGGGAAGACATGTTGAACAAAGTTAACATCTACAACAAGAAAGATAAAATAGCAGTCTACAGTAAGAAGCATAGAAACATGTAAAATTCACGGCATTATACCATGCAGTGGCATGGGTAGATGTTCAGAGGGAGGGAGAGCAGTACCTTTTGGCATCTTCATAAAGGAGCTCACGGGCTGGAGATTTAGCTCAGCTGCACAGCGCCTGCCTGGCAAGTGCAAGGACCTGAGTTTGATTCCTGGTACCAAAAAGGACTTCATGAATTAGTTTGGTTTAAGTTTGACTATAAAAAGCTAATCACTGGGTTTTGTGAGTTTAACTTTTATAGGCCGTGAGTTTGAACATTTATAAATCATGGTCATTGTGAGGTTTTTGGACCGTTTAGAATTATTGTGGAATGTTAGGATACAGCAGCTGTAGCAAGCCTTGATAGGTGTTAGTATGGTTAGGACCACAGTTACCTAACAGTGGTTGCTGTAGGCTGGTGGGCTAGTGTGTGATTTCGTTGCTGGGATAGAACCCTGAAGTAACAGCTAGAGCAGGAAAGGTTCAGTTTGGCTCAAGTTTGAGAGATCCAGTGTGGTATCAGCTGGCTTTGTTGCTTTTAGGCCTGTGGCACAACAGAAGTGTCATGGTGGAAGGACATGGTAGAGGAACACTTTTCATCTAATGGTAGCCAGTCAGCAGAGAGAGTGGGGACAAACCTAGAGGAAGGCACTGGGAACACGATGCCGGCCCCAGGGTCACATCCTGTGACCTAGTCCCTGCAAGTTGGTCCCATCTCCTGCTTTGGACATCTCCCAGGAATGCTGGTGCATCACAGATCTGTCAATGGCTGGAGTTCTTATTGTGCAGTCAGTTTTGAAGAGCCCTCAGCTGGCCGCAGGCCTTCAGTGCAAGTCCTCGTCAGGCCCTTCCCGTTGAGGCCGTAGCAGCTGGGCTGTGCAAGTTTCACTCTGTTCATGTTAAATTGCTCTTACCCTCTGTGAGGCCCAGGTCAGTTCCCACAATATTCTGGAGCCTTCTGCACACCACTCTCCCTGAAGGGGGGTGCACTCATTGTGTTCTGGGCATGTGGCACATGGGTGCTGTACCACCCTGCACGGTTTCTGTTACATGATGGTTCTGCTCTTCAGGCTGCTGAGCTTGTCCTGTGAGTTAAAGACCATCTTATACTTCCCCGTTATTCCTTAACAGTGTACACAGTAAGCAGGTAGCTATCTGGTTAATGAAGAGCTAGATGACTCTGGTCTTACCTGAAAAAAAAAGTTTTAAGGAGTTTCCTGTTCTGACAGCCATTAAAAATTATAATTTATATCAGAAGTAATTCTAAATTCAATTGGTAAAGAGTAAACTTCCATTAAAGTTTTCAGCATGACAAGCCATATCATAGAGCTTACTATACCTGTATATGCATAGACATACACATGTACTGTATCTTTTAGGGTTTTGTTTTATATCTCCTGCTGTCTTTTCCCCAACCATACCTATGTTTTCTGAGTGTATTCTATATGGTTTCTATTGATACATGATATTTCTCGTAACACCTAGCTAGTGCTGGAGGTGTGATGAACACTCAGTATATAGTTTTAGATTTTCTCTAGAAGTTTTAGAATTATTTAATATTGTGAAATATTTTATATCATTATTATTTTTCATAGGCATGAATATTTCAGGACTTTTTTGTATGAGCTTACTGAAAGGTGTAACGTATTATCGTTCTATAATACAATTATTTGCCTCCTAATGATGTTTCAGTTGATGACAGATTGCATAGACAATAGTGGTCCCAAAGATTATCATGGCAGTGAGCGTTTCCTATTGCCTAGATTTTTCCTGGACCATCCTTATGTTTGGGTATGTTGGACACAAGCATGTACCTTGTCTTACAGCTCCCTGTAGTATTCAGTATAGTAACATGCTGCCCGGGTTTGCAGCAGCTGTGGATCACGCTGGGCCGTGGAGGCTTGGCTGAGTTAACTTTGTGGTGCTCATATGTCAAAAGTGGCAAGCAGGGACGGTCGGCACTTCTCCTTGTGATATGTTACTGTGTCTTATTTTCTACAATATTTATGTTAGCTGGGGCTTTTTGGTGAAATTTGCTTAAATTGACACATAATAATTTAGGAATTTTTTTTATAAGTCTGTAGAAGAGAAGCTTTCTCTAGCACAGGAGGACTTGATTTCAAACCGAAATCAAATTGGAAACCAAAATAAAATGATTCAAGAACTAAAGACGGCCAAAGCTACAATGGAGAAGGATTCAGCAAAGAAAGAGCAACAGTTGAAGGAACAGAGTAAAACACTACAAGATGTGCAAAAAGAAAAGGTATTTTGTTTTTTTATTTAAATTCTGAGTTTTAGAATACTGACGATTGTCAGGTCAGAGCTCTTAGCCAGTACATGCATCACTTTTATTTTCAACAGATTAAAATTATTGTTTAATAAGTAATTATTTTTCTACAGTCAATGAAAGAAAAAGAACTAGTCAATGAAAAATCTAAACTGGCAGAAATAGAGGAAATTAAGTGTAGACAAGAAAAACAAATCACTAAATTATCTGAAGAACTGAAGTCCCACAAGCAAGAAAGTATGAAGGTATGTTACGCTAAATGGTTTTCCTCTCTTTTATGTTGTACTGTTGTCCTTTAAACATATCTTTTGAAGAGACTGAGAATCTGCTCTATGCTAGGCCAGTTGTTTTTAACAGATATTCTTGCCAGAACACTGCAGCAATGCTGCTTATGCTTTCAGATCATTAAATGACGCAAAGTAAGAGTTTAGATTTCACTGAAATGGTAGTAAAGACAGTCTTCAGAAAATTATGCTTGTACTTAATGTAAAAATACAAGGTTTTAAGGGATTCTGTTCATTTCAATACTTTCCTAAAATTCTTTAGGACATCATTTGAAGACTGTTTATCACTTGCTTTATAAAATGCTACTCATTTTCTTGAAAAAAAAGCTCGATTTGCTCTTGAGAGCTCTCCTTGTACATCTGTCACCATAGCTGACGTTTTGCCTCGTGATTTCCTGTCTCCTGTCCTTTTGTTCTTCTAGAACGTGACTTCCTGAGAGAAAGGAACGTATGTAATTCCCTGTGTGCTCAGAGCATAGTGCCGTGCGCAGTGTCCAGTGATGGCCCGTAGACGCTTGTTAAGGGGAAAGGGGAGAGTAGGAAGCAGAGATTGTTGCTCACGTCCTGGCCGTAGAAGCAGAACATGTGCGTCTCAGGTCACTGGTTAAATGATAACTGAGCAGGGAGTAATCTTGTGCCTTTAAAACCGCTTGTGTACTGAATTCGAAGAATCTCACAAGGGTTAAACTCATTGCTGTGGTAAATTGCATAAACTTCAGCTACCTTTTGAAATGTTTACTGTTAAGGATGATTTATATCTTGGCCTTCTCAACAGGAGATAACAAATCTCAAGGATTCCAAACAGCTTTTGATTCAACAGAAGTTAGAACTTCAAGGAAAAGTAGATTCCTTGAAGGCTGCTGTGGAGCAGGAGATGAGAAATCAGCAGATGCTGAAGGAGCAGCTGACAAGGGAAGGAGACGAGCTGAAGAAAGCATTTAGTGAGAAAGAAGCTAAGCTGGTGAGTGAGCTAAGGATGGGAAGATGTTTTGTAATAGAGGTTTAAGTCAGTCCAGTGAAAGCTTTTTTTCTACCTAGAAGTTACAATTCAAATGCTTTCTTAGCATTTTATTTTAAAGTCTGATTTGCTTAAGTAGCTGAAGTGTCATTAGAAGCATTTTGTATCCATATTTTGCTTTACATAAGTGAAAATTAAATTAAAATACAATTTTAACACATTTTTAGTGTTGGAACCAAATAAACTCATGGCCAGATAGACTGAGGTAAATGGCTTAAACTCTAATCATGTTAAACTCATTTGTTGGCCAAAGTGAATGGAAATTGTTGAGGGGAATGGAAATTTCAGCTTGGAATTACAGTGACAGAAGTCGGCTTTTCCTTCCCTAAGTTGTGCGTGCCAAGGAGGAAGCATCTAGCTTTCCTTTATTGAATTAACTCCATATATTCCCAGATATTTTGATGGCTAAATGTTTTAATTGAAAACTTCCAATTGTAGTTCAGCAGTTCAGAAGCGTTGATTTCCTTTAAAATAGAGAAATTGAAGAATGTAGTGAAAGACATAAGGAAATGCCAGCCTTCTCTCTAGGGCATCCTGCAGTCTCTAACCGTGTGTTTCTTCCTCTGCTTTGGTGGAAAAAAGAATCGCAACCTGCGTCACTTCAGCTTGGTCTTAAGAGCCACTTGCTCCCCATGGCTGCGGTGTTGGGGCGTTTGTGCCCCCTAATAATACCTGTTGTATTAGGGCCTAATGGAGTGCATTCCTATGTCTCCTTTCCTAGAGAAGCAGTATTAGCTATATCGGTATTACTCTAAGTTCAGTAATTACCTGAAATGTATTTCACATTGCTTTTATAATAGGCTTTCTTTCTTTTTCTTTTCTCAGCATTCTGAAATAAAAGAGAAGGAAGCAGGAATGAAGAAACACGAAGAAAATGAGACTAAGCTTACCATGCAGATTACAGCGCTGAATGAAAATTTAGGCACGGTGAAGAAGGAGTGGCAGTCTAGTCAGCGGAGAACTACTGAGCTTGAGAAGCAAACGGATGACTTACGGGGTGAAATTGCCGTCCTAGAGGCCACGGTGCAGAACAATCAAGATGAGAGGAGAGCGCTGCTAGAAAGGTGACCAGCTCGGCCCAGGCAGTTCACTCCCTTGTAAGGGATAAAGCTTCATCACACTCCGCAGTTTGAAGAGAGAAAAATTCGTACTTTCAGAACTTATTTAAGTCGCTGTCTAAAATTTAACCCTCACAATAACCCATACAGACTAATGTAGATTTAAAATTACTAATACAGTCCATTACCTGTTTTCCAGAGGGTTTTGATAATGTTTGAAAACTTATGTTTCTTCACTCTTTATTCTAGATGTCTTAAAGGAGAAGGTGAAATAGAAAAGCTTCAGACCAAAGTACTAGAGTTGCAAAGAAAGCTGGATAATACGACTGCAGCCGTGCAGGAGCTAGGCAGGGAGAACCAGTCCCTGCAGGTCAGTACCCTGGTGACTCGCGGTGGCTTCTCAGTCTACAATCGACCTCTTAGTGAAAAGTATATTTTCACCTTTTAAGAAAAACCTCCAAGGATAGTGGTGTAGTTAAAGAGCCATTGCCTGGCATCTGCGTGGTCCTGCGTGACAGCGCTGCACCACAGAAACAGTGAAAGTAAAATAAAACCAAGGAACCTCGTTGTTTCACAGTCACAGAGGCTAGTGTGAGAGCCACGCCATTCATGGATTGTCTGTACAGGGAAAGAATTACAAAATTCAAGAGTACCACGGGGTGGATAAGTCAGTACAGGAGCAGTGTGTGTGCTCCAGAATGCAGGAAACTAGAGAAACTTGAACACTTACTGCTTGTAGAAACACAAAATCAAGCACTAGACTGAAAAATAGTTGGCAATACCTTAAATAAGTTAGAGACAATCAGTGTATGACACAGCAATTCCATTGCTAGGTGTATCAAGAAGAATTGAGACTAGATGTTCAAAACATAGTTACACAATGTACAAATATTCACTGAAATCCTATTTACAAGAGCCACAAGGTATAAATAGCCTAAAGGTCAACCATAAATAAAATAAGGAACATTCCTATAATGTATTAGCCATAAAAAGGAATGATACACACTTCCACGCTGATACATCTGAAAACATTGTACAGTGTGAAAGAAGTTAAACACCCCAAAAGCATGAGCTGTATGATTATACTTATAGAAGATACCCAGAATTTTAACAAGTATAGAGAATTACTCAGTTTTGTCATTCAAATTTATAAATGCTCCTATTTTTTACAGATGAAAATTGAACAAAATACAGTATTTGTTTTCAAAATTTTTATTCAGCGTGCATGTAGGCAAAATTTGTAAATATCTGGCACCATAGTTGCAGTAATCATCATTCTTTGAAACGTTGTATAATTGGTTGAAACTCTTTTGAACAGATCAAGCACACGCAAGCGCTGAACAGGAAGTGGGCGGAGGACAATGAGGTGCAGAACTGCATGGCCTGCGGGAAGGGCTTTTCAGTCACAGTGAGACGGGTACGCGGTTTGTTCTTTTTTTTTTTTTTTTTTTCAAACATTTATTTATTTAGTGTGTGTGTGTGTGTGTGTGTATGTGTGTGTGTGTGTGTGTGGCCAGCTCAGCCCACCAGGGGGCGGGGCTGGCTGGCATGTGGTGCTGGGGGATTGAACCGTGGTCCTTGTGCTCTGCCAAGCTTGTTCCAAGTAGGTGCTTTAGACCACTGAGCCATCTCGCCAGCCCCGCGGTTTGTTCTTATGTGTGCTCGTGATTACAGTTCTCAGTCACGATTCTGTGACTGGCAGAATAGTTCTGCATTTCATAGACTTTTAAAAAATTTTCTACTTATAGGTAAATTGCGGTTTTCAACTACATGTGAGAATTAAACTTCATGCAGTCTAGTTTCTTGTTAGCATATGTGCTTTATTTTTTATTTATTTAACTTTTTTGGTGGAACCAGGGATTGATCTCAGGCCCTTACGCTTGCCAGGGAAGCAGTTATTCCGCTGAGCCATCTGCCTGGCCCCAGCATTATGTGTTTTAGACTCACTCATTTCTTCTCTATATTTCCCACTCTGGGTCAGTTGTTTTTCTGGATCAGTGCATAAGTATTTAATTCACGTGTTTTATTTAGTCAACTTTAGGGCCTTTGGAAGGACAAAAAAGCAGAATGTGTTCAAGAAATGTATTTTAAATACTTTCATTTGAAAATAATAGTTGAATGCATCCCTGTGACCTTTGGCAAGTTAGAATAGTTTCTCATTTGCTAGGGGTGCTCTAACACTTTAAAAAGCTTCCTTGGGTTCTTGATAATTTCATGGTAAGAGCTCCATAAAATGTTCAGCGTGGGGAGCATTCAAATTGAGTACAGCACAGGCTTAAGCTTATCTCTTGAAATACAGTATCATTAAATGATAGAGTAGGCCGGCCAGATAGCTCAGCCGAGTAAATCACCTGCTTAGGCAGAACATATTGGCCAGGATTCCATCCCAGTTCGATCCCCGGCATGCTGTGCTGGCCCCGCCCCCGGGGTGCACTAAGACAGCGACTGAGACTGGGCATGGTGGTGCGGGCCTGTAGTGCTTGGAAGGCTGAAAACAGGAGGATCACTACAGGTCTGATCTGTGTAGTGAGACCTTTGGACCCTGTTCTAAATACATTAAAAATAAAATAAATAGTAGAGTGGCCACTGGAAATTTAGTGTAGCTGTACACTGCTGGCATAGAGGCTGGTTTGTGATAGTCATGTAGTTTTGTGATGCTTTTGGTACAGTTTTTAAGGTTGAAATTATTTGAATTTTGTCTTATACAGCATCACTGCCGCCAGTGTGGGAACATCTTCTGTGCTGAATGTTCAGCCAAGAATGCCTTAACACCTTCCTCCAAAAAGCCTGTCCGCGTCTGTGACACGTGCTTCAATGACTTGCAGGGATAGCGGCGGGTGCAGCATCACGGCTGCGTTACACTACGTTAGGTTTTAATACCTGTGTTTGGTAGAGGTCTTGGACAGTTTGGTTTGGACTCTGGATGCAGTTCTAGACCAAATTAGAGTTCATATATTTTGGAATGTTGTCAATACCAAGTAAAAGTCTTCTATTTTTGTGAGACTTGGATTCATCTTCATTACCTTTTTCCATTTAACCCCAGCATTAGTTTTCATGCCAACTTTAGACTTAGTCAATGAAATGTAAATAAACTTTGGACAGAAAATAGCAATGTATTTTTTTAAATATAATTTCATTGTTCACAAATAATATAATTCCATAGCTTCTTTCTTCCAAATTATATGTAGAAAAATGAACATGGATGTTATCACCTGTTTTTGTTGCACAATAATATTAATTATATGAGATACCCTCTTTGTGGAATCACGCACAGGACTGTAACACTTTGTTTTTCTCTTCCGTAATAGGTGTGTAGCTCAGTTATGTTGTTTTGTTACAAATTTGCTATTTGGGCATTCTAAGTATAGTTTATGTTTAAATATATATTAATCGTGAACTCAAACATGGCTTTTGTTCTAACAGTATTGATTAAATTCTGGAGTACATTTTAAAAAATCCTCTATAAAATCAGTTTGCTTAATTTGTGGTAACCCCGGGGTTATGTTTCAGAGATTAGGATTAATTTTTCTTTGTGTCTTTTTTATGTCAATTTTAAACTTCCACATATTGTCCATTAAAAACCCCATAACCTCTTACCGTCTCAGTGGAAGGAAGACGACTGACTAGGAAGCGTACGGCGTTCCTAACCTGATGGTCTTGTTGTGGGAGGTCTCCGAGGTGAGCGTTGCGCTGTAGCCCCATGCTCAATGCTCGTCGCTGTCCAGCATCTCCAGGAAGCTGAATTGGCCTTTTCAAAGGTTCGGCCTCTTTTCTTTTACTTGGTTTGACCTTCCCAAGCAGAGCTGAGCTTCACTGTAGTTGTTTTTATAAATTTGCACTGAATATTAGTAACTTCTATTGCTATAGTATTATCCATGAAAAGAAAATATAAAATGGTAAAAAAAGATGAAATATTGTACTTTATATTTTCTTTTTACCTAATAGCAAAGAATTTTAGAAAACTGGTAAAATTGACATTCTTAAAATGGTTCTAGGTTGGAGTTCCATATTAACTAGAAATGTTATCTGCAGAAATTATGCCTGACGTTATCTTTAAATAACAGCTAGAGAATAGAATATCACTTAAGACAGAAGTATTCAGTAACTCTGATGTTACGTAAACACTGAAACAAGTGTCAAGCACCTTAAGGATAATTAATAGTTAACCTGTTTGTATGCTGAACAATGAAAGTGAATTTTAGTATTTCATAGTCTTACTAATTTGAAAAACTGGAAAACATCTGAAGGCCGAATTTACTAATTTTAATTTATTATCTTTCTAGAGAAGAAATGTTAAGTGATACATTCATTCAGTGCAGGCATTTAATAACAATAGCAGAGAAAGATGAGTGTTGATATTTCCTTTATAATTTATAATAGACACTTGCTTTTGAATACCATGCTGAAATGAAATTATCACACTTACATAGTATCTAGAATATAGGTGAACAAAAAGATTGCCACATATTCGTTTAATTATTTTAAAAGTAGACCCTGTAATTAGTAGTTGTTAAGTACATTGAACGTTGACTAAGTCCCTGGACCTGGATAAACACACATCCTTGAGTATAGGTAATGATTAAATGCAGTCGACATTAAAATAATACTTGGATAATATAAACTGAGCTATTCATGGATTTTTATATCCATAAATCCTTTCAAATAGTATTAAATTTATACTTTTACATTCAAGTAACTTACTAAACGTATTAGAAAAACACAGTCACAGCACCCCCAGTTTTTTGTTTAAGTAACAGCTATAGGAGACTTGTGGGCGAGCGTGTCCCTCTGCTTCGTGCCCTCCTGGGACGCACTGTAGTCTGCCCCCCTCCCCACCCTCACACTTCGCAGACACTTTGCGAAGGCACCAGATAAAACCAGGGTTCAGCCGTCTGCCTCACTTTTGTCTGATCGCGTCTCTTGGATCCCGGTTCTCCGCCTGCCGTGGGCTCCGACATGGATAAAATGAGTGAAACGGAGCAGTGTTGCTGGCACCTTACCAAGCGAATGTGTTTTGAAAATAAACCTTAGTGCTGTTTCCCTGCAATTAAGCAGCCCTCTTCTCAGTTCCTATTGGCTCTACATTTTAGGTGTCCGCTGGTACTATTATTTTGTCAGTGAGACAGAGCTGGCAGCTCTTAGTTCTGGTGCAAAACATTGGCATCAAATCTTAGTAAATTGCAAACCTCAGCATAGAATTGTGAGTTAAGACTCAAGTCTTGCTGGTTAGTGTACAGTAAAGTTTTTTTAATAGAAAGAAGACAATGCTGCTGGTATAGGATTTGTTTCTTTTGAAGAAGGAAAGAAGGAAACAAACACAAAACCTCAATGCAGTGTACAAATAACATTTTGTTCAACTACCTCTTAAAAGTGGAATTAGCTACCTTAATTGTTTCCTTACAGTAATGGTAAATAGTAACTGCCAAATTTGTTATTTTCCCATCTCTTTAAAAAGTGTTTATGATTATCTTATATAGTTTTAAGATCTTTAAAGTCACTTTTTTTTATCCTTGCATAAAAATATTTAACTTTTAAGTGGAAAGCAAATTATGATCATATATTTTGATATTCATGATCTGTTTGACTAGAGCAGTTTTTTTTAAATGCACTTTGGCTATAAAATTGTGGATGATTTGATCCATGAGATTTAAATGTGCCATCAATTTACTATTCCTAAACATGAGCTCAGTGAATGATGTTCTTTAATTATCGTGTGCCACACATGACCATGTCTTAATTGCCCTTTGCCTGAATTTTCATGATCAATTTGTTATGTTGCTGATGTGAATACTGTGCATATACTTACTAAATTTATGTAAAATTGTATAAAATGGAATTGGAGCTCGCCAAGTTCTCCTTGTGTAGAAGTACTGACCTCACTGTGACATGACGCGGCCGTTCGTGCGGCGTGCTGTGCTTCCTGCGCTGCGTCGTGTGGCCATGGCTTCTGTATAGGCTTTTGCATGCATATTTTTTCATTTAGTTTTTGGGTTCATTATTTGTATTGTGTTTACTATTTGTGATCATGTAGTTGTGCCTTATTTTGTGAGAGTTCAGTCCAGTAAATACTGTAACTTCTAAACTCAATGATTAGAAGGGTTATTGGTTATAAATATAACTGATAAATTACCTGACAGCATTTAAATCTGTATAAAGAACAGTGGAAGGATCCTTACTGAATTGTTTTTGTTTTTTAATATGTTAAAGATGATATTAAACATTTCTTTCTAGTAGATGTGTTCTGTGACTAAATTATTTTGTCTGCTTGAAAAAGAAAGGACAAAGTCTTAAACATTTTCCATGAGTTAATTTACATAATAGTAGGACTTTACACTTGGATATGGACACTGATTATGTTTTAATATTCTTCAATTTAGGATACATATTCATGATCTCAAGAGAAATTAGTACTGCCATTTTGCTTGAGATATTTTCTTTTCACTGTATTCGGTATTGTGGAGAATGATTAAAGCTAAAAAAAAGTATAAAAAGTATGCAATTAGTCCCTCTTTTCATTGTGTATGTAAATTTATTTCCCATGTGTCCACTTGATAATGTTTGAAAGCCCAATATACCATTGTTCCTCCCACCAGGCACTAGAGTTCCAGAATTCTGCCCTATTTCATTGTAATGTCCTTCCCCCTGAGAAGTTGAATATGCATATCCTCGGACAGGTAGTGAACATACTGTATATCAGATACGCTGTTTCATGAGTCTTACACTACTCCAGTTTATGAAAGATTTTTGAGCTGTTTTATGTGCATCCTTTATATGAATTCTTTCTTTAAAATTTATTTATTTATTTATTTATTTATTTATTTGGAATACAGCTCAGACTCATAGTGATCCTCCTGTCTCGGCCTCCTCAGTGCAGGGAATACAGGTGTGTGCCACCATACCCACAGCATGTGGTACTGGGATCAAACTTGGGTCCTTGCGCTTGCCAATGCTGGTGCCGAGCTATCTCCCCAGCCTTATGCTAATTCTTTTTGCTTGTTTAATGATATTTAAGAGTAAATGCTGTCCTGTATGTGTATAAGTCTGTGATTACACACTCCTGGGGCCAGAGGACTCGTGAGGAGTCACCCTGTGCTGGTCCCTCCCCTGCCTTCCTCCCAGGGTAACTTGTATCTCAGAGACCCCCGCAAGATGATTGCTAACACTTTTTTCCTGACACTCTGTATTTTAACCAGAATTTCTTCATAAATCTCTTGCACACGTCTCTGTGCCTTCCCGTCATAACTGCTCTCTGTAGGAACTCACTTGAAGTCTATTCTTCTGTGCCTGCCCCCCCCCCATGTACTCTTAGCTGTGAACAATGGTTTCCAGTTCACCTCTTATTTTACCCCTAATAAATATCTGACATCAGTATCAGGAGGCTGCGACTCTCCACTCTAGCGGTGCTTGACCCTCGTCCCTTCCTGCTGTCCTTGTCCACAGACCTTGTTTATGTGGTGAAATGTGTGACCACTTTTAAAAATGTACTGTACATCTGACTTCCCAGACTTTATCCTGTCTACACAGTTCTTCGATTGTAATGAAAGAACCCAGTTAAAGTTTTAGTTGTCTTGCAGCCAAATTTGGTAAATTTGTTACTTCTACTTTGAAAATTGCAGAAAGCACCCTGACTAAAGTGGACATTTGTGGGTTCCCATTGAATAAACTTTGACCCTAAGAACTTAAGGGTGCAGTGGTAAAAGTTCAGGTAGCTCATCTTTTAATTTTTTTAATTTTTTAGTACAGGGTCTCACTACAAAGATCAGACTCATAGTGATTCTCCTGTTTTCAGCCTCCCGTGTGCTGGGATTACAGGCGCAAGCCACCATACTCAGTCTCAATCACAGTCTTGGAGTGGGGCCGGCGTAGCACACTGGGGATTGAACTCTGGTCCCTGCATCTGCCTAAGCAGGTGCTTTAATTCACTATCTGGCTGGCCCTACGTAGCTCATCTTAATACAGTGTCTAATGAAGTTTAAAATTCTGTCAGATAAAATGAGGTGATTGTACTGCACATGCCGCACGCGCACACACAGAGATCAGAAAATGTTTTTTGACAAATACTGCCATTCTTCAAAATTTGAATTTAAGAGAAAGGTATTCCTATGAGCAGCTCCCATGTAAAACAGTTAACTGGTAAAGCTGGAACAAAAATTTCTTAAAAACTGGAATTTGGTCTTTAAGTTTTACATATTCCAAATTAGATTATTATTATATATATATGATACACATAACTGTTGCAATAGTAATTCTAAAACAGCTATTGAAATGACGCATATTATTTAGTGTATTAAAAGAGCCACAAACTTTGTATATCAAAAGTTGTCATTGTGTTTGCAGTAGGACTATTAACGCAGTAAGATTGACAAGCAGCGTAGAAAAATTGATTTCATTTTATTTTTATTTTTAAAAAATTTTTAGGTTTCATGATTTTATAGATAGGGAGTAAACATGCTAGAATTCATATGGACACAAGCGCGGCCCGGTCTTCCTGGTGCTCCCCTTTTTCCCCCGCTCACCCCTCACAGATTGCCGTAGCATCCTTCTCCGCCTGCGCTTCACACGAGTCTGACTGAAGCATTAGAAGACGGTCTGAGTATCAGCGTGTATGTGGACAGGCATCCTCAGAGCTCAAATTTGCTGCCGCCGTTATTCCTTTGTACTAAGGACTTGGCTAGCTCAAATTCTCAAATTCTGCAATGCCTTTAAAAAGCACATTTCCTTTTAGCTCACACGAGCTAAGTGTTAACAAAAATTGAAATAAAATACTTGAAACCCAAACCTCTAAAAAATACACAACTTGTTTTACAAGTCCCTAAATTTCAGAAGACTCTGCAGACAATCTGAATAAAGGTATTTTCTTGGTTTCTTGGTTCTTGGTGAAGCGAGAGATTGCTGCTGTTATTTGTGTTATCCATGCTTTCTGCCAGAAGAGAAAAACGTGTAAATAACGCATTAAACTGATAATTTCTCACATATTTGAATTAATACTTTCCATTAGATTTATTGGCTTGCTCTTCAAAATGCAAGATTGACCAAACATTTGCATGTGTTTCTCATTTCTCTTGTGTCTAATTTAAATACCTCTAGTCAGACAGGAAAATATAAATGGATTATATATGAGTAGTGTGTAAATTGGCTAAACAGTCCTGGCTAATCCGGGACCCTAGTAGTCAATAGTGACTAATTAGAAACATGAGTACTGACGTGACGGATGAAAGTTGAACTTCTTGAATTCCCATTAAGAAACAAATTCTTAACCAGTGGTATAATTTGAAATGCAGATTCAGAGGGAGATGGCCCAGGAAATTGAGTTCTTAAGAACACCAGAATAGTACATTTATTCTCTGGCTGTATTGTTGCTGAGGGAGAGGACCACAGGGACAAGACGGAAATAGAAACTTCTAAGTAGAGAGCGCCAAGCCCGGCAGCGCCCCTTCAACCCCGTAGCTAGGCAAACCGTGGCATGGTTTCCCAACTTCTAAGAGCGGACGTGGCCTCCCTCACAGCTGCACTGCCTGATAGCACTCATGCTGGTGGCGTGTAATTTCCACTCTGGAAAATGATTAGATAATCTTAAAAGTGAATCATGCAACCCAAAGCAGTTCTTTCCCCCTCTCCTGCAGAAACTGCTGAACTCAGGGACAGCTCCTGATTTTTGGCCTCCGGAAAACATGGGCCAGGCTGTGTCATCCCTGTAAAGTGAGGAGGTTGTCATCGCGGAGGTTTCTGAGCAGGACACGGGCTGGGGGACCCTCAGTACCTACCAGCTGCTGTCCTTCCCGACATGAGTCAGGACAGTACATAAAATCTCCCAGTGTGTACACCATTATGTAAGAGGTGTGGAATTTTTCCTCATATAAGTAAGCTCTGAAGCAGCAAAGATCTACAAAATTAAGATACATACTTTCATATCTTCCGTCTGGGCTTGTAATAAGAATGCTGCTATACACTGTCGGTATCTGTTTTCATGTTGTAAAAGAAAAGCGTTTTTCAGTCCAAAGCCTAGAAAAAAAGATTACAAAGACAAAGAGCCAAATTATTTAATATGAAATCCATACGGTATCTAAGTAGAAGAACCTGGGGGGCTTGTCCTTTACTTGGATTTCTACTTATGGTGAAGGTGGGAGATGTAAGTAGATTACCAAGGCATCAGCTCTGATTCAGAGGCCAACACTCTGCTGCTGTGTCCAAACAGAGCCCATTCCAATACAGAAACCCTCTCTCAGCTGGCGACCTCTGGGAGCCGGCGAGATGCAATTTAAGCAGTGGCAGAGGGCTCCACACCAAGCAGTCGGAGCATGATGAGGTCCTTTTGTGTACGTGTGTGAAAAGATAATTAAAAAAGGCAAATATGGAAAGCAATGTGTTTCTTGTACTCTTTAAATGTTTATTTTTGTATTTAAGTGGAAGTTACGTCAAGAGAAAGCTTCCAAAGTGCCCGCTTAGGCAGAGGCGGGAGCCCGGGGGTTGATCCCTGGCCTGCCATACCGGCCCCGCCCCCATGGCACGCTGAGACCCTGGGTCTGAGACTGGGCATGGTGGCGCGTGTCTGTAATCCCAGTGCTTGGGAGGCTGAAAAACAGGAAGGATCGCTACAAGTCCGATCTGTGTAGTGAGACCCTGTAGGCCCTGTACTAAAAATACATTTAAAAAAAAAAAAAGGTTTCCAATAAAATTAAAGTGTGGTAAAAATTTAATATCACCTGAATAGGGCAAGAAAAGCTAGAAAGCTGATTGAAATAAAATGCATTGTCCACCAAATTAGGTGAAATGTGTGAGAAAACAAAACAGAAATGCAAGGTTTCTGCATTTGCAAAAGGACAGCTCTGCTTTTCGGACTCTGGCTGGCCTCAGGAACGGCAGGAGTCCTGGGAGCGGGTTCCTTGTTTCCTCTAACAGCAGGAATTCTGAACATGACGTGCCCAACTTGATTTATTAATACAACATAAGGAATAAAATTCTGAAGTTTATAGTCCTTCTGGAGTACTTCAGGTTCAGAATCAAAAAGAGAAACCAAAAAACCAAGCCTGGTTCGTCCGTAGTCATATCAAACGTTAGGGCAGGGCTGGGGAGATGGCTCAGTGGAATAAGCGCTTGCCTGGCAAATGCAAGGGCCTGAGTTCAGTCCCCCGTTACGCAAAAACAAACAAACAAACAAACAAACAAAAAACAAAACAACAACAAAATGTTAGGGCAGAGAAAGAGAACAAATGCCTTTTATTTCTGGTGCTTGATTTGGAGTCAACTGTTTTGTTGAAGTTTGTGAATTTGACTCTGGCTAACGTGAGGCAGGTCAGGCTTCATTTCAGAATCAGAGTGAATACGAGACTTATTTTTTTAACTGCAAGAACTATTTCAGCAGCACAAATTATAAGAGTTTAAACCTCCTAATTCCTAAATTCTACTACAACAGATCAGTCAATGTCAAAGCATAAAAAACTGTCCAGTTTCCTCAGGGTAAAAGACTAAGCCTATTAAAATTCACTTTCTGGAAAGAGATCTGGCTGGGTTTGTTTTACTCCCTGAGATTTTTCTCTTATAAACCTAGAGCACAGGAGGCTTTAAAGATCACGTTGTTCTTGGCTGGTGTTTGGAATCCATCTTCCTGAAGCATTGAAGCTGGAGTTCGCCTGGCACTCACTTGTTTGGAGTAAAATAAGGGTATAAGGGGCCTCATAAACAAATGACCTGGCTTGCTCAGGGCTGTAAGGTATAGCGAGGAGATGATACAAGTGGGAATAACTTTTTTTTTTTTCTTTCTAATGCAGTTACTAACAGAATGTTTAAGGGTTTTACTAGGTCCTGGGCTCCACTGTGTGTTTTATGTCATTTAAACCACACAGCAGCCAGATGATATGGGTCAACCAATTCCTACAAATGGAGAACCGGGAACCAGACAGGACTGGATGTGGCTTGGCCAGGGTCTGGATCAGGCTCCGTCATCTCAAGGACTCTTTCTGTCCCTGTCTTCTCTGCCACTCTTTAGTTATTTTGCTCCATGCCCTATAAACGAACAGTCAAGAGGGAAGAAGAAAACCATTTTTTTTAAAAAGAAGCAAGACAGGCTAGTTATAAATTTAAAGAAACAAAGTGGAAGTGTGGTTTTTGGAGAAGATACTGTCATTGGTTTTTAGAGAATGAACAGAAGGGAAGCAAAGTTCTCCCAAAGTAATCCAGTGATGTCTAGCTCTTGAGCTGAGAGGGTTGTGACTACTCTGATCCTTCAGCCATGCTGCCTGCTCTCTGTAATGGGGTTGGGACATCTTTTCCCACTCATGATGCCGGAGTCCTCCTTAGTGGGGTAGTGTACCCCCAGCATGGAGTGCGCACTAGAGTCAGCCCTTGAGAAAAAGTAGGCAGATCCCAGCACAGAAGCTGGTCCGGGCCTCTGCCTGCAGAGCCCTTCCTCTGACACAGTTGACTGTGATCCTCCAGGCAGGAGCGAGCCTGTGCTGAAAGCGGGTGCACGGGCTAGGAAAGGGCTCCTTTGAGTCTTGATTCCACAGCTTTGCAGACTGTGGCCTTGTGCTACATTTGGATGGTGAATGTCCTCCAAAGACCCAGGTAGTAAAGGTCTGGTCCCCAGGTTATGGGAGGTAGAACCTGGTGGACATAATCTGGAGGGGGCGTGCCTTCAAAGGGGATTGCGGCTCTTTCTTCTTTCTCTGTCCTGGCAACGAGGTGAGCAGCTTTGCTTCTACCACATCTTCCTACTGTGATGTGCCTTCTAATCCGGGCCTCAAACAACTGGGCCAGCCCAGCTCACTATAGACTTCAAGCTGCAGAACTGTGATCCAAAGCTTGTCTTTTCTATTCATAAATCATGTACCTCAGGGCTTTTGTTATAGCGATGGACAGCTTACTAACACAGCCTCTTTAGATTGCAGTGGATTCTGGCCAAATCAGACACAAAAGACTGTACAGCCTTCCTGCCTGCGTCAAGCTTCAGCAAATCCTATTGGAAGTGGAATAGAGCCTCTGAGCACAGGCTTCCTTCAGTGAGCCCCTCTGCTTTGGAGGACAGAGGCTGCATCCGTCACAATACAGGGAAAACATTTCAATACATCTCTTGGGTATGTATCCTATCTACATAAGGGTTTGCTATTCGTTTAGGTATTTATTAAGCTGCTCTAATATGTCTGGGCCATCTGTGCTAGCCACAGAAGCCTGGGGTTGACTTCTGTTGGGAATCAAGGGGATGCTGTTCCTTGCTCCTTTGAGGAGATAGGAAGGTAGCTTACCCCCTGCCCAGCCTGGCCTCAGCCACTCTAGAAGTTTCCACCTGCCCCAGCAGCTAGCTGCTTCCTCCTGAGCTTTAGACACTGCCACCATCCAAAGCCTGAGGAGACAAAATGGCTTGCAGGTTGCTTGGAGTCCCAGGGCTTTCCTGACTGAAGACTGATCGATCTTTCATGATTCTGGGAGCTCTCAAGGGTAAGGACAGTTTTTTATTCCACCTTTGTATTTTCAAGGGCTGCTGAGTCCCTGGCTTTTGGGTGACACTCAGGGCATGCTTGAACCAAACCTTAGAAATGGTATCAGTATTTCTGATACACATGTATGAATATTTGTGGACTTTGCATACATATGCATGTCTATGTGTATCTACTTCCTTCTGGAATATTCCTTCCTATAATGAAGAATCTTAGACGTTCACAGTGTATCATGCTTTACCAATAGCAGTAGTACTATGAAATCTAATAATGCTAATAGAACAAAAATACTAACAATAGCTATCATTTACAGTATTTCATTTACTTCTCATGAAAGTTCACTGAACAGATATTATTATGCCTATGCCTAAAGTGACACAGCTAACAAGTGACAGAATGGGGTAATGTTAGCATTGGGTGCCATAACTAATTTGTAGAGCAAATGATACATAACATGCGAGAACACAGCCTTGCCCCTTGTGAAGATGTTACATTAGATTCACGTCTTGCTGCCACAAAAATTCCATGTAAATCTCTGACGGCCAACAGAGGAACTGAGTGATGGCATCGGACACATACCTGGTGCGTGGAGTGGATCGATGCTTTTGACTACCAGTCTGTCAAGTGGGATGGGTTGATCGACTACCATACATGAACCGCCCTCTTTTATTAGGGTTTGCAGCTCAGGAGTGAGTGAAGGACACAGCAAGCCGGTGTCTGAGCCTCCAAGTTTCTGAAATCCAAAAGAAAGATAATGCAAGACGTAGGAAACAGACACTGGTGCATAAACCCCTTTAGGCTGATGCGGCTCAGAAGCAGGCCTCTGGATGGCCAGCTCACTCTTCTTTGGGATCTTAAAAAGCTTGTCCTCAGAGCACAGTGGCTTAAAGCAAAGTGTTTCTGCTCTCTAATTCTAGGTACCCAAATAAAGAATGGCTGGTGTTCATAACAGGGAACTACCTTAATCCCAGTCACCTCACTGGGAAGAGCTTCATTCCTGGGATCTTAATCCCTCACTAGAACTGAGCAGGATAAAGCAGAAAGAGGAGCCTGAGTTTGGTCAGTTCTGTGTGTGGAATCCAGTATGAAACTGTAAATAGTCTAGGCATTACTCAATAGCAGAAATTGTTTTTAATATATAAGATGGGGACTTACTTGAAAATGGCGTAGAAGACTGTGACTTGCACGGTATGTATTGTACACCAAATAGCACAGAGGATTGCAAGCTGACAGCATTCCTTATTTTGAAATCAAGTTGTGAAGCAGAAACCAGTATGTTATCTGATTATGCAATCGATATGGGCTGCTGTCAACTCACTTTTGATGTGGGGGTGGGTTGTGTGGGCATCGAGATTTTTGAAGGGGGCAGTGATTTTTCAGAACTTGTCTTTTTCAGAGATAGTAGCCTGAATAACTTGAGTCCTGTAATGGTGACTTTCTACATTCTTCAATGCCTACTCCCTCCCTAGTCACCCATCAGCCAGGTATTCATAGATTAATGAGTGCCTATTTTATTGCTGAAAGGTTTTTTAAAAAATTAAAAATCCCTGTCTCTGAAGAGGTTCTTTGACTGGTCCCTTAACTGACCCATTTTTTAAAAAAATGTATTTAGTACAGGGTCTCACTACACAGCTGGTGATTCTCTTGTTTTCAGCCTCTTAAGTGTTGGGATTATAGGCGCGTGCCATCACACTCAGTCTCAGTCACAGTCTCAGTGTGCCCCAGGAGATCAAATCCCGGTCCCTGTGTCTGCCTAAACAGGCGCTTTAGTCTGCTGAGCTATCTGGCTGGTCCTGTAATGCACCCATTTTATCTGTAATGCGAGTTGTTGGTTTGTCTGGTTCCTGAGGTTCTTAACGCAGCCACACATTGAGAGATCAGGGCTCCCTCCCTCCTCCTGCCCCCAAGTCACCATGTGCCCAATCAGCACGAGCAGGGGATACCACTATGCTGCGTGGCTGCCTCCACGTTAGGGCCCCCACCCTGTCCCTGACCACCCTTCTTGTGCTGACAGATTTAGAAGGGCCGATCAGGACAAAGGCATGCTGGGAATCTGCGTGCAGGCGAGTGAGCCCCAAAGTCCTTTGTCTGTCTGAAGACAGACTAAGCCTGGTAGTCTAGAGAAATCTAACTGGCTTGTCATTTTGTTTCATTTTTAGAAGAAGAGATCCATTTGGAAGTAGTATAAGGCTGTTAGAGCACTAACAGAGCTTGTTTAGAAATAGACTCCAACTCATTTAGAAATAGCAGTGTTTTACCTTTTTGTTGCGCTTAGTTTTTGTAACTAAGAGGAAGTCATCAAAGAGAAACAGGTAAACATCTAGGAATCTTGCACTTTCTGGGGAAAGAAGGAGAAGGTGAAATGGGGACTAGAAAGAAGAGGTAGAACTTTCATTTTACAGATTGAAGAATCCCTTGGAAGACAAAACAAAGGATCCCTAGGTGCTGGGTAAGAAACTGTGTCAAGGCTGAATTGATTTTTCCCTGAAGCACAGGCTTGTCTAAAGTATTCAACTTGAAAGACCTTCTATTTGTGAGGCATTTCCAGTGGATCAAAGGTAACTTGCGTGGTATTTGTAACAGTTCCAACTAAGCTGGGGACAAATCCCTCAGTTAAGGCAACTAGCAGCATTTGGCCTCTTGCCCCATCCACACTTTCATCAGAGAAAAGGCATTTTTCATTTCTTAGGCTGAACTGTATCCTCCCAGTTCCTAGTCGAGGCCATCGTCCCTGGCGTGGCGTTATTTGGAGGAAGGAAGCAGATAAGGTGCAGTGAGGTCATGGGCAGGGAGCCCCTACCAACAGCATTAGTGTCCTTAGAAGAAGCGTCACCAGAATCATTCTCTATCACGTGAGGACAGAGCCAGGACACATCTGTGTGGCAGGAAGGGATTCCTTGTCAGAAACCAGTAGGACCCAAATCTGGGATTTCCTGCCTCGCGTCTGTGAGAAATGAAGGTCTGCTCCCGTTCAGTGGTATTTTGTGTGGTGGCCCTAGTGGGCCAAAATAGGCAGGCAGGCTAAGGCTGCTTATTCTGAGGCTTTGCAATGTGTCCACAGAAGTTTAAATATCCCCCACATGGCTTTACGTTTACGAAGCTTTCTGATACCTCTTTGATAGCTACTTCAGGCAACTAAGGAAAGAAAGAAAAAGTCCCTAAGAAAGAAGTAGTAGGAGAGAAATCAAGTATTAGATAAGGTATCCATTTCCTCATTTGATTTTTCAGAACTTGGAAAAATAAATTAGAGGGAGATGTCATAGGCACTTGAAGTTATGGGAAAATATAGTTGTTGTTTTTTTTTTCTTTTAGCTTGTCCTAGTTATGTTGCTTATTTATATTATTCTACTTCTATCCCCAGGAGGTGGCAAAATTTAACCTAATAGATCAAATACTTAGGACTCACTTCTATTTTCTCTCATTAAGATTTGAGAAGGGATTCTTTCTACATTGCTTAGGTAAGAAATTAGATATTGCATTCAATTTGAATTATCCTTGAATATTTTTATTATTTTATTTTATTGCAGTACTGGGGATTAAACTCAGGAC